ATATTCAACGTCTCATTAAATAAGTGTTATTAATTGATATCGAAGAAACGAAAACGTGTTATACAATATTTACGAGAGCATATTTATTAAAATGAGGTTACGCACTTCGGAAAGCAATTCAATGTCCATTTCCATATTTAAATTTTTATATAATATTTTTGGACTAAGTTTTATAAAAATTGTTATATTATTATTTTATAAGTCATATAACATTATTGTCAAATTTTTGTTCTATCCGAATTAGTTTCAATAAAATATAATTAAAATATTTAATAATTATCAATTTAAAATAACATGCATCACATACATTGGTATACGAAACATTCTTATAGGAACAGAACTCTAAATCATTAAGGAAAAAATTGCAAATATTAGTTGGTATGTACCATATTTCAAAAAATATTACGAATACCCGTATATAAGATGTACATTAATGGTTTCTGGCAAGTATATTTAAATATAAACTGTAACACATCAACATAAACTACGAGTATATTGGATCAGAGCATATTGCAAAAATTATCATTTCACAATAATCAATACCTTTTGGTAATTATTCTTGGGAATTTCCGAAAATTACATTGATTTTGTATTTCAAATTAATTAATTTTTTCAATTTAATAAGATACACATACAAAATACATTATTAAAATTAAAATTTTAAAATAGAAATTCCATTTTTAATGGAATGGCATTAAATGATTTGATGTCCTGTAAAACTTTGTTTATGTAGGCGTACACCAATATAATTTAGAGAAATTTTTAATGAAAAATTTATTTCTGCCTTACTTTAAGAATCACTGACATTTTACAAAATTTTATATTAATTTTTCTTCTTCTTTTAATGCGTTTTGTTTTTCTATATTCTCTGTTATCTCAAAAAAAAATGGTAACAATTTCCACTTTTTAAATATTTATCAATTGTCTTATTGCGTGTGTTTTTTTTTTGTTTTTCTTTTCGTTTTGTTATTTTTTGTGTTTTGTTGCTGTATATTGTTGCAAACGATGTTTTCTTAATACTTAAAAATTTATTTTAAAAAATTTATTTTCATTCTTTTCTCTTTCTACTTTTTATATTTTAATTTTATTCTTATAATTTGTTTTATGTGTTCTCTATCTTTTGTTCTTTTATTTTTCGTTTTTTTTTGTTTTTGTTTTTAATCCAATCAAAGAGTATATAGAGCCCATGCCTCCTTTTTTTTTGGATTTTTATATAGAAAGGGAAAATAATTTTTAGAACCTTTTTATTTTTATTCTTTTGCATTTTTGGTTTATTTTGGTTTTTGGGAATTTTTTTATTTTTTATTTTAGAAAAAACATATTTATTTGTTCTCTCTCTTCTCTATTTTAATATTATTTTTCTCATAAATTTTTCTTTTTCATTTTTAGTCTAAAACAATTTTTAACATTCTTTTACGGCAAAAGTTTCCCATTTCTCTAATAAAAAAGAAAAACAAAATGAAAAATTACACAAAAGAAAATGCAGAGGGTGTATTAAAAAGAAAACAAAAAAGAAACAAATTGAAAGTGAAAATTTTTAACCATTTACATAACATGATTTGATGTCTACGTACATAATATATTTTGTATACAAAAAACATAGAACAAAACAAATTAAAAAAGACTAAAAAAAGATAAGAATATAAGAGGAGAAAAAAAAAATAACATTGAAAAATTTTTCAAATAAAAATTCTAGGCATCCTTAAATAATAGATACGCGTAATATACTTGTTTATATGTATGTATGTATGAGTATGTGCAGTTTGTATGTATAAAGATACAAAAATACATTGGTTTTTTGTTTTTTTTTTTTTGAAATATTATTTTTATTGTTTTGCGCGAAGGTGTCTGTTGTATAATGTGGCCAGATTTTTATTATAATATTAAAGGATGAAAAGGTCTATAAACTTTGTTATGGCAATGTCACAGCATTGCCAACAATAAATTATTTTTTGTTTTATTTAATTTCTATAATAAAAACTAAATTAATTTTCAAATGTTCGAATACAATATACAAATCAGGTACTTAGCCAAAATAGGTTCGTATTAGTTTAGAATAATTTTACCAAAATTATTTGTTATAATTATACGAGAAATAGGTTCATTAGGTTTATAAGCTGAGATATATATTTATAACGTATAAAACGTAAATTAGATTTTTTGAATATTAATACCACAAGATTAACCAAATGACCCAACATTTCGACTACCATATGTTTTGTTTTTCTCATGTTCTTCTAGAAAAATTAAAATACCTCCCATATTATGTACAATTCAAATTCAATTCTCAGTATCTGAAGTCAAAAAATATTATTGATTTCAATAGGAAACAGAGCTCAATTATAATTACATGAATTACGTGATTTCTATTGTATTATTATTAACTATTTTACTATTATTCTCAGATTTTATTTATTATTTAAATATATCGTGTGTATAGAAGGATCCCACCACATAATATCTGGCATTACTCTTAGTTACTTAAATATACATTATTATTAAACATATAGAATTTTATTTAAGAGCTTAAAAATAAACATTGTATATTAAATATTTTTTCTACATAAGTATGTATGTGTTTCAAAATAGGTTTAATATTAAAGAAAAAGAGATGGGTAAAAATAGATTTTGGTATAAGAATAAGAATATACATGAAGGTGTAGAAATGAATCTCGTATAATAGAAAACAAAAAAAAAAAATAAAACAAAGTTATAATTTGCAAAAATATTTTGTAATTTACCAAGAATTGTGTATAATTCTCTTTCATCTCTCAAGTTGAAGGTTGTTAAATTCCTTAATTATAAAACTTTAAATCCTTTGCAAATATAGAATACTTTTGGGGTAAGGATAATCTAAAAAAAATTTTTATATATATTTTCAGTTTTTTCTTTTTTCTCAAAGAATTTTTTTCTTTCTCTTTTTTTTTTGTTTGTATTATTTAATTTTTTTTCTTTTTATTTCTGCTCTCTTTATTTCCCCTTCTAATATTATCTTATCTTTTTGTATTTTAAAAATTTTTTATTATTATTTTTTTTTATTTTGGGTGGAAAGCTTATGTATACGGCATTTTCCTTTTTTATTTTTTTTTTTTTCTTAATGTTAGTTACAAAATTGAAAATATGTGAGAAGTTTTTTTTTTTCCAAATCTGTTTTTTTTTTTTTTTTGGTTCTTATTTTATTAAATTTTTAAAAAAGAAACAAACCCTCTTTGTACAGAAGCTTGGCTAATGTATGAAAAATTGCAAAAGAGTTTTAGAGAAAAAAAAAAATTTTTTTCTCTCTGATTTTCTCTTGAAACTTATGCAAACTGAGAAAGAATTTTTAGTAATCGGATTTATCTTCTTTTAATTTTATTAGAAAAAAAATTTTAAAAATTAATTTAAATTATTTAAGAATTAATTTAATATTAAGATTAATTTAAAAGAATTTTCTTTTAATTTTTTGTTTTCACTTTATTTTTATTTTTTTACTCTTTACCTCTATTTAATTTTTTTTTTCCTTAAATCTTTGTGTTAAAATTCACTTTGTGTATGCAAGAAAATATGAAAAGATTTTTTTTTTGAGCAAGGTATAAGTAGATTTAAATAAAAGTAAAATTTTATTTCATATTTAAGTCGACAAAGTTATTTAATTAAATTAAAAACTTTGTTTTTTTTTTTCCTAAATTTTTATAATCCAAATTAAGGTGGAAAAAAATTTTGAAATTTATTAAGGAAATTTTAAATTTTCAAATGTTATTTGCTGAATTCTTATCGACCAGAATATATCCAATAAAACAGGTTATGTGAATTCATTAAATACAATTGTCGAATGACAAATGTCGAATTTTCATCGGAAATACGTTCATGTTGTCGGACTGCTAGTCGGTTGGCTTCTTTATCTCAAATTATCGGCTGAACTGATTTTCTCAAAAAGTTATATCGTATAGTTTAATTTAAAGTTCGAAATATAGTTTAATTTGAGGTTGAGAATATTATTTTTTGGGGCATATGAGATTTCAAGACTTTTAATACGATCGGTTTTTGTTTTTTATAAGAAAATATTCGGGAGATTTTCTCAAAATCTAATATATACAAGCTTACCATGAAAATACGATAATCCACGTAATATTTTTTTAGGAAATAAGTTGCCAGTACTACCATGCTCAATGAAAATATTTATTCCCATTGAAAATTGTTATAAAAAAAATAGCCCATTTATTAAAAAATTAGTATTTTCAATTTCAGTCATAATAGCGGGCAGCTTATGAAAAAGATGTGTATAAAATCTAAAACAAAGATCTTGTATTTTAAATGGAAATATTTCAAAGACAAATCAGTATTTTAAGCAAATGTTTTAATATAAAAATTTTAGTCAACGAAAAAATTTTGTAAAATATTCATAAGATTTACGTCATTATATTAAAGAACGCTGAATAAAAACATAAGTCTTCATTTTTCCTCTGACTCATTATACAAACTGATCAATTAATGTAACGCAATAAAAATTTAATTGTATACTTTTGTAAAATATTAATTTTAATTATTATTATTTTAAACCTTCATATTTATGATTTTTCAATTCAAAATAAAAAATTATTGATTTTATATTTTACGTATATTTCTACTGAATGTGAAGAATAACACTCATAAATTCCAATTACTCGTTATAAATAGTAATGACATGAACATAATATAAGTATTTCTCTCTTTCCATCTCTTCCCAAATAAAAATTCTACGTTTAACACATAAAGTCAAGTTGTAACAAGAGGACAAATAAATACATACATATAATGACATTAAAATTTTATATAAAAATATATATGAATATATTATTATAAATTCTTCGAAATTATTATTAAAATAATATTTATATATACATATAAATATATTTTTCAAGGTTTTTGTTTTAAATAATTGAAATAAAAAATAAAAATTTTTTAATGTAAAAATAAATAATTGTTAAGTATATGTTATGTAAATTTAATTTAAAGAATATATTATATATTATTTTACTTACATATTACTGTTAATTTGGCATTCGCTCTTATTGGTGAATTAAATTTACCGGGACCAACTTGACATTGATATTCTGCATCATCATCAATTGATGCATTTGATATTCTTAAATTATAAATTCCTTGATTACGATCACCTAATACTGAATAACGTGGAAAACCAGGTATCACAGCTGAAAAACCAAGTGCAAAACCATCTTTGGTCCATTGCACTTGACCGGCTAAATTCGATATTTCACATTTAAGTGTTGCTTCAGAGCCCTCTAACACCTGTAGATCTTGTGGTGTTATACGAAATTTTTGCTGTTTTTGACACCAGCTAGATGATATGAATGTTAAGATAAGAACTGTAATCAAAGAAATGAAGAAAATGAATTATTTTTAAAATAAATTTATTGTAAATTTGAAAAAAAAAATAAAAATATTATTAAATGAATAATTTCATTATTATTTCTTTTCCATTGTAAATTTTGAATATTTTATTTAAAATAAGAAATTTAAATAATTTTATTTAAAAAACTTCCATAAATTTTAACATGTATATGACCCACATTATATTGTAACCAAATCAAATAATTTTTCTTAATTTTTTTGTTTGGTTTTCTATTTTTAGTCAAAACTACAATAAATTATTATATTTTAAAATCATAAATTTTTAATTTGAATACTTATTTGAAATTCTTTTCATCTTTAAAAAAAAATTTTGAATGATTACACAAGCTACCTATAATAATTATGTCTGATTAATTTTACATAAATTTAAAGAAATAGAAGAAAAAAATATGCTTTATAAATAATTTCTTCAATATGGTAAAATCGTGATATTCACAAATAATTTATGATGTTTTTAAAGATCAAATTTTTATTTTTTACATTTCAACCAATACTCTGAATTTTTTATAATTTATTACAATTTGAAAACATTTCTTTTTCAATAAAATTTACATCAATATTTGGATATTTTTAAAAACTTCCTTTCATAATCTACCCACATTCATTGTCAACTACCATAATTATTTTTAAAAGATTGACAATATAAATGGTTATTATAAATAAAAATTTTCTGATTTAAAATTAATAATATTTCTATATTATTTTGCCGAAATTTAATATACTCCATATTAATGGAAATAACATAAGAAATTTGCTTAAATAACAAAAAAAATTCGTATTTTTAAAAGTTAATACAAATTTTGAGTTCAATTTTGAAATATTTCTAACATAACTTTAACAGTCTGCCTGTCATAATACTCCTAATACTTTAAACTAGCTCTTATCCTTAATATTAATTAACCGATATATATTAATTGTCAAGATCATTCGGTGCGGAGGGCTGATATTTTTCACTTCATTAATTTGTCGAATTTCTCTTGCTATTATAGATCCTCTGACATTAATCTGTTGCAGTTTTGGAAAATACTCTCAAAATGTATGGAAATGGTAAGGTGCGTAAACCATGTTCACTCAAAAATATGCAAAATCAATATTATATGCAAAATCGAACTAAAAAAAATTGTTTAATAGTTAGACATAAAAGCTGTGAATAGTAAGTTTTTAATTATTTGCATTTTAATTTGGTAAATCTATACACCACAGTTAGAAAACATGAAGTTTTTAATGCCCGATGCAAAATAATAAATATTTAGAGTCTTTCTTTTTTATTGTTTTGAAGTCTAACAAAAATTGAAAAAACAAAAATTTTTTTTTCTCTTAAAGTTTTACTAACATTATAGATGTTAATTTTAATAAAATCAATAAAAGCAAATAGTCATCAAAATTATTATAAAATAAAAAAAATATAGAATGAAAAGTTTATGGTCATTATTAACTTCTATTCAAGCAGAGTTTTCCAAAGTAAACATTTTAATTTAATTTATTGTAGAAAAAAAACACAAAATAAATATTGTAAATAAAAATTATAAGGTGATGAAATACATAAAAATCATGAATCATTCTGTGTAGTCAGCAAATAAAAAAAAAAGAAACCATGAAAAATTTTAAAATTTGAACCTTTAGTTTTCAATAGTACAACAATTACAACAAGATGATGTAAAAAAAAGAAACATTTCAAGAACTGATTGAACACAAAAGCGACTCATTCAACAAGTTACATAGGTTTATTACTTTAAATATTAATATTGAAATTATTGCAAGTGCGTTTAAAATTAACTATTATACTTAAAAAATTTCCAAATTTTATCACAGTAATATATTGTTAATAAGAAAAATTATTAATAATAATATGTTTAAATATATCAATTAAAGCGTGGTTCGAAAATAAACTAACAAAATTAATTACAGCTCGTATAATTAAAAAATATTCTAATGAAAGTAGTGGAGTCGTGAAATTAATATTATAATAAAACCAAAACGGATTTTATATAACCAAATTTATCGTAAAACAAAAAACAATTACTTTTGCTCAGATCAATCGAAAATAAACATTTTAAATAAGTTTCCACTTTAATTAACCAATGTAAGCACACATTCCATTTTATAAATTTTTTCAAAAACATTATTCAAAACTTCAAACATCAAAATTTCCCATTCATTAATGATTTCCTTTTATTAAAAATATTATTATAATTACACATTTTTTTAAAGTCAAACCATTTATACTTATCGTAAATTTATTACAATTACCTACCATTATTTCATTGATTATATTGTTTTTAAATTTTAATGAATGATTTTTTTTTATTCACAAGCAAAATTTAAATAAGACTTCCCCCATTTATATAACGAAATAAAATCCGATGTGATCAGCACATAACCGAGCGCGATGTACATATATTGTCTAGTTAAGTGAAAGTGTTAGGGAGGAATAAGAAATTGCATTTTAAACACTTCTTTTCGAAGAAAAGTGTAATTTTTGAAAAATTTGTAGAATTTCAATTTGTACATCCCGAATTCCCTGAAAAGTTAATTTACCGGTTAGTTTTGGTAAACACCAGTACTTAGATATCGAATTTCAAAAAATTCCATCAATCCGTTCCGTAGCTACGGCAAAAAATATAAAATTGGCCCCCCAGTTCCCTTATGTATCACGAAAATTAATCAATTCGTAACATACCCGAAATAAACTCACATATAAAATTTCATCAAAATCAATTCAGCCGAGCTTAACTGATATACGCGTCCATATACAGACCGACATCTCTCTAATAAAAGATTATTCACGCAACCCTGCTATTGAAATGTTCCCACCGAAACTCGAAATCCGAAATTTGATACCAACATATAACGTCTCTTATTATATACAATGCAGTCGATAAAAAAAAAAAAATAACCTTTAATTGAAAAATTTTGTATTAATTTATTTCCGGCAAAATAAAAAACAATAAAAATTAAACACAAAAATATAATAAGAAAATAAAACACTTTAAGTAACTAATTTTAAAGAAAAAAAAAAAAAAAAAAAAAGTGGTTTGCAGCCTACGCTCATTGGTCATAAAATATCATGTATAAAATAACGAAAGTATAGTAAAAAAAGCCAAGATAAAATAAAAAAATTAAAAAAAAAGCACTTTTAAATTTTAATTTTTATTAATGTCTTTTCAAAACCCAAGACAACAACCACTCAAAAATCATTATTAATTTTACTACTTTTATGTTCATATATATATTATATATATACATAAATGTATATACACAATGTGTATACTAACTATAGAAAAGTAATCATCACTTACTGTTCTGTCAACTAATACTGTCTTAAATAATAAATTATAGTGAAATTACTCATTTGCGTCAAAATACAAATTGAATGTGCGGACACTATGTAAAAATGAATTCATAGCATTAAGCAGAATTTTTATTAAAGTGCAAGAGCATTCTTCACTATACTTGTAGTTCACTCAATTGCAGTGGACAAAATTGCATTAAAATTCACAAGAGCAGCTTCACAAGAATGATTTAATTCAAAAAAAAAAGTATGACAACATTCACAAGTTAAATTAGTCGACATAGTAGTAAAATCTATTCTAGTAATCTCGTTCATATACAGTCTGGTTTAATAATTTTACTCTACATTTTAATTCAATTCCTGGGTTCCGTATCGTTTTACTATCATCAAAATTTTTTCGATTACATGCTATTATTGAAGACGGCCGAATTTCTTCAATTATTATGGTAGTTTCAGAAAAGATTTTTTGTTATTGAAAAACTACATTTAAATCTCCATATAGATTTTAATTTAAAAATTAAAATTTACAGTTCAAAAACTTCAAATTTTTTACGATATTTTTTTCATAACACGCTGTATATATGGCCGGTGTTATTAATTTTACATGAATATAGTATGTAATACAAAATATAATCTACCATATATGCAACACATTATCAATATAAAGGCATGACAAACAAACAGATCGCTTTGTGTTATAAAATAAAAAAGAAAATAAAGTTTAGCTTTTTTAAAGTTCAGCTTTTATAAATATCAGGTTGAAATTTTTATGAATGAAATTTAATTCTTTTCAAAATCATTCAAGTATTGAAAACTGATTTGGTACGAAAGCGTAGGTGATTCGATTTTTCATTTAATTTTTTTTTTTTTTTTTGTATATTTCTCTTACAATTCTTTTACTGTTTTTTGTTATAAAAAGACCTTTGGATCAATTTTCTTTAAAAAAAAAAAATCAAGATGAATAGGTAAATGTCAAAATCAGTTTTGGATCTCTTGTTTTTTTTTTTCTTTCTTTGTTTTTTTTTTTGTTTTTTTGCTTTGTTCGCTTATAACCTCATAAAAGTTAATAAAAATTCTCATAAAATTTCTTTAAGATGCCAAAAAATTTAAAAAGAAACTACCTATATAATATAGGCGCACACATTGCGTACATGTGTGTTCAAAATAATATAGTTGTAGTATATATATATATTATATGGTTGGGTATATATATATGTAATCTAAGAGTATGTACGTACATATAAAAAATAATTTCAAGTTATGTATAGGTGGTGTTACACAGGTTAAAAAACAAATTATAAAAGAAAAAAAATAACGTTAAATTAAAGATGGGTGGTGAAAGCATTTTAATTTTTTTTTTTTTTTAAAGTTTCTTTTTATATTTTATAATTGTGGAGGCTGGACACTTAAATAAACATAATATATTCACTAGTACACCATGCATATATACATTTATTCACTTTTATTTACACATAACTAATTATAATCGCCATAGCGTTCACAAAAAAAAAAAAATGTTTTTAAGTTCAAAATTTTAGACATTAGGTCAAAAAAGTGAATTAAACCTTAAATAGTGGTTATACAAAATCGTAACAATGTAATAATAATTATCAATCATATTTTTACAAATTAGACGAGGGTACTTTAACTTACATAATCATG